CGAAGAAATTTCTGCAACAAAAGTTTAGTTACCAATTGCTTCTTTTATAATAGCTTTCTTTTTTCCTTTCACTCTTTCAAAACAATAAACTAATTAGCCATTAGAAATGATAGACAAGTTTTTGTTTATGGATGAATTATTAATAAATTTTATTATCTATATTTGTATTTGTCAACATTAGTCAACATTACGGGACTAATTGAACAGGTAACTTAATTTTAATTGCTTTTTGTTTCATAAAACGATTGAATTTGTATATATATATATATATATATATATAAATATAAATATGGAATAAAGATCAGTTGGTGTGAATAATTTGCATTAATTAAATCAATATTCAATAGCCTTGAAGAGGATGAACAATCGATGAGTGTTTGAAGGATGAGAGGAATAATTGAGATATTTATAATTTTGAAAAGGTATGGTGGCAATAAAATAAAAAAAACTTCATTTATGCTGTCACCACATTTTGCCATTCATTTGTCCCATTAATTATCACCACCGTATGTCACACTTTTGTAACGCCAATTCTTTTTTCCGACATATTTTATCAAAAATTCTTCAATATAAAGAATGATATTACTCAGATTAGGTTTATAGTGCAAAGTTCAAAAAAAAAGGTAAAAAAAAGTTTAGTGAAAAAGGAAAATGATAGGATACAATTAATTTTCGAAATTGTTTGTGTTCCCTTTTTTTTTCTCTCTCTCTCTCCCTCTCTCTCTCTCTCTCTCTTTTATTCCGTTTTTTCTTTCTTTTTAAAAAGTATCCACTTGACAACTATTTGTGTGCACTTTCGACAATCAAATTCATTTATGAATAGAAAGGTAAATGTATCTTTCGCTCATTTCCTTTCTAGTATTTTAATTATCAGTTGATAATTTTACTGATAATTTTAATGTTTATCTATTAATACAAAATTTTATCATAATAATGTTACCTTCTAAATAATATGTATATGCAAAATTTTGAAACTTTTTATGTGTGTGTGTGTGTGTGTTTTGTTTTAAAATTTACCTAAATGAAAATGATGATGATTAAAATGAATACAATTAATTTGATACGATAGAAAATGAGTCTTATGATAAAAGTTGACGGAATAATTACCACAATTTACTTTTATAAATGAAATTTACTGATAATAAAATCAATGATCAAATCGAATCAATTAACCACAACATTCGTTGATAGATGATGAAATGAGATAGAAAAAAAAAGAAAGCATTACCATTTTATTGATCATAATAAATAAATAAATATTTGTAAACATTTAACTACAAGGAATTAATTTTGAATTCAATTTTTTGTGTTAATATTTTTACTAAATACAATTGTTTTTTTTTTAATTAATTAGAAATTATAATGCATTGTATACTAATTATTATTTCTTTTTTTCTTACTAAACATTTATTTGGCAAAAATATTAAATGGAATTTTGTGGTTAACTTGGAGTTAATTCATTTTCATCAAACACATCAAGTTATAATGTTGATAATAATAATAATGATGATGATGATGATGATGATGACGATGATGGTGATAATAATAATGGCAATTATAATAATATAATGATAATGACGGTGATAATGATGTTGATGATGATAACAATAATAATGATGATTGTGATAATACTGATAGTGATAATGATGATAATAAGAGTAGCGATAATGATAATGATTAATGGTGATAATAGTAATGTAATGATGATAATAATAATAGTAGCGATAATGATAATGATTAATGGTGATAATAGTAATGATAATGATGATGATAATGATAACAATAATGATAATGATGCTATCATATTCTGCCCATCTTGATCTCTTGCAAAATTTGCTCTTTTCGATTTCATTTGAAACCTGCCCATTTATTCATTCTGATATGTTCACCCGAAATTTATTTCATTTCAATCCATCCCAAAAATTGCTATTGCTCATCTCTCCGTTTTTTGAATAATAAATTTTATTTTGTGCGAAATGGGTCATTTTACTATATTGATGATATAGTACAGGTTTTCATATCAAATCATATTTTCATGAAATTTTAAAATTACAGATGTTTGATAATTTTTATTATTACTTTTTTCTTCTTCTTCTTCTTCTCTTTCCTTCTCTTTCCCTCTCTTTCTCTTTCTCTCTCTTTTTTTCACTCCCGGATAAATTTTTAATGGATAATTTCAGGTTTTGCTATTTGTGTGAATTGATCCATTCCAATGGTTGTTGGTTCCATTCAAATTATTTCATCGTTAAAAGCCATTATTCATTCAATTTCGAAATTCTTTTTTTTTTTCTCTTAAATTTCGTAAACATTTTTATGCAATTTATATTTTATCATATGGTTGCATGATTTTCCTAAAATATAAATTTAAAATTAAAAATATATGATATTATTAAAAATGAAATTTTATGTTATAATTTTAAACTTAAAATAAAAATAATGAAGGCTTTTCCTCTTTTCATCTAATTAGAACAAAACGAAAAATTCTTTTTTAAAGAATGAAAGCCGTCGGATAAGAAGCAATATAGCTAGCATACGGCACAATTTTTGATAAATGCTTTTTTTTGTTTCCGGTGAAGAATTGAAATTGAAAAATGATATAGTCATCAATCGTATTACAATTGAAGTTAAGTTGTGAGAAAAATTTGAACTTTAAAATTTATTCTAATTAAGGAGAAATGATTGCACGTCGTTTTATAATTCTTCGTTTCATAATTATTCCCAATTTCAGATTTGCACCTAAAACATATCATATTTATTTGAATAATTTAATACAGCAAATACTTTCGACGTTAAATTATCACACATAATTAATTTAATTATTTTATTTCATAAATATGATAATATCATATGCAAATTTTTCATTCTCATTAAATGATCGTTTATAAAAATGAATATTTAAATAAATTTCATAATTTTATAATTTTTTTTTTCACTTTTTAATATAATAGTAGCGAACAAATAAATGTTTCAATTTTGATAATCTAATTGAACTGTCAACAATTGCTTTCAATAATTACATGTTAGTATTAAATAAATAATAGTAAAAATTATTGATAGAATGTGAAAGTGAAAAGAGTTTTGAAATTGTGTGAGATAAATGATGAAGTGAAATGAATATCGGATGTGTGTATCGGATGAAAAGCTGTACAAATCATATCCATCCTACTACTCGTAACATATATTTATTCAATTAAAATGTTAACACGATGGATAGAGTGAAATTATATTGTTATAATAATGACTGGTACAAAATAGATGGGATATCTGCTTAAATATTTGTTTATTTCATTACTTTACATAACTGCATTTATCACTTTTTCAATCTTTCATATCGTTTGCATCATTTATGATGATAGTGATATTATTGTTAATAAAATCATATATTCATTTTATCATTATCATTTATCGTTTGCTAACAATAATAATAATAATAACAATAATAATGATAATAATAATTAATAATAATAATAGTAAAACTTTGAAATTTTATCACTTGTTAATTTTTTTATTACTCCTTATTTAATCACTTCTTTGATTATCTTACTCAAATCATTTATATGTAATTAAAAAAGAATTTAAAATATATAAAATAATTATTTCTTCAAGGATGCTTCTTTTCTTTGATTATTTCATTTATTTCATATCACAATTTCTTAAGATTTTTTACTTTTTGCAGTATTTTTTGCAGAATTTTAATCAAATCTTAAGCATTGGCTATGCTTTTGTTTTTGTTAAATTTATTTTTAATAGCATTTGAAAGATTTCAATTTAGTATATTTTAAAATTTAAAATAATTTAAATTGTGGAAAATATGAAGTGCAATGATTTCGACTATTTTAACAGGAAAAAAGAAGAATATTTCAGTAAGCTATAATTTAATTTTAAATATGTACGCTAATTAGTATTTACAATATTAATTATCTTCATTATTGCCAAAACCTTTTTGAATATTAGCCTTAAATTAATAATTAAAATATTTAATATATTCTTCTTTCTAATCATTCATTTTTTTCTCTAGAAGAAATATTAGCATTTATAAAATTTTCAATTATTAACCAATTTTTGTTTGTTGTTAATTTTCAATTAATTAAACCATTTGAAAGAATTTAAATTCATTTTATGAAATCCAAATTATTATAAATTAATTTCAAAAAATATGATTGAAATTTTACAGAAATGATAAGTTAAAGCAAAGAAAAAAAACAGATAGAAAACATGGAGAGAGAGAGAGGGGGAGAGAGAGAGAGAGAGAAAATAAGAAGAAAGGAATTCGATGAATCGGAAAAGTTTTCGGAAAAATGCTAAATTTCTAAATTTTCCTCAGTTATGATTCATCAGCTAACATCAGCCTTCTCCAAGCATCATCAAAACTTCTCAGTTAGTCAATTAGTCAATTCATCAGTATCATTGTCGACAGTTTACCGTTCTTTTGTTTAGAACTTATTCTTTTACGACACTACAAACCAGCATATGGTATAATGAAAAAACCGGATATCCGATTAAATACCACTTTTTTTTGATAATATAATCTTGCACTTCTCATTCTTCTTTATCCTACAATATTTACGAGTTTTAGTGATATTGGGTATTCCGGAAAAGTTCATCTGATTATTTGATGAAATAATCAGTTATACTAAAAGGAATATGTTATTGTTTTTTATTACGGTATATAGTATGATAAAAACAGGAAGAAAGAAATATATATGTAATTTTTTAATTTGCGGAAATTTCACCTTTTTAAAAGAATATCGGATAATTTTTTAATTGATACAATTTTTTCTTTCATCTTCATTACAAACAAGCAAAAACAATATGATCATTTTGAATTTCTAGATCTAAGTGATAATTAATACTGAAATTGAACTATTGAGATAAATATCAATTCGAATTAATTTAAATTAAATTAAAATAATACTAAAATATTTTTGCTATCGTTATTATCGTTTTATTTTCTTGAACTATCATATTCACTTATAGTATTATCATTTTGAAATTTAGAAATGATGGAACCAATATATGATGGTACAGTACATGTTTTTCAAGGTCAATTTTTTTCGGTAAGTTAAAAAGTTTTTCACATTTTCATATAAAATTCATTTTGGTAGAAAAAAAGATTGATGTTAATTTAAAAGTTAGGAAAATAATCCAATTTGTTTATATCTGGTAACAATTTTTTTAAAACTATATAAATCCGGATTCTTTTTATCAATTAATATCATGAAGATGAAGATATTTACGGTAGGATGATTTATCGTACCGGAAAATTAATTCATGCTTGTATGAATTTCATATTTGCTTACCGTTAAATTATTTATTCTTTCTTTCTTTCTTTCTCTCTCCCTCTGTTTCTCTTTTACCTTATCATTTTGATAGTTTTGATTATCAATGTAAATGGATTGGACTTTATCCTCAGCAAAAAAGAAAAGAGTAAAATATTTCGTTCTTTTTGACTTTCAACTTTTTTCCTACAAAAATAATGAAATGAAATAATAATGGTAATACTATCATTTCATTTCAATATTTCATTCAAATTTTTGTTTTGCATTAGAAATTAATTTTTTCCATCGCTGGTTGATATTCAATGGAAGGTAACAGGAATTGAAAGAATTGAAAGAATGATGATAGGATAGGAGGAATGAAGGAATGGAATTTGAATTTAGTTGAATTCAACTGAATCAAGCAACAAATTCATCGAAGTGTATTTTGTGAATAAGGAAAACGAGAAATGAAAATATAAATTTCATTTTAAAATTCACTTGTACTACTCATTTTTATATCTTACACCTGCGAATCTTATCAAATAATTTCAAATTTGATCATTTGCTAAACCACCATATCATTTTTTGCATACTACACATGCAGATGATATGCATGCAATTGAGATTGCAAACTGATTTGCTGCACGCCAACTTAATTTTTTAGGATGAATTAATAAAAGAAATTTTAAAAAATTTCCAAAATTTCTTTTTCATAATTTTTGTATTGTTTTGTTTTTTTAAATTTCCATGATATTCATTAAGAAATTTTTGCAGAAATGGAAACGATTCAAAGGTGCAATATTTGAAGAAAATATAACAGGTCGAGCACGTCTTGAAATTTATAGCTCAGGTTCACAACTTGCCGCTCTAACACCATCAAAAAGTATTCTTCTCGGCGAATGCGTTGCTATCCGGATTGTTCACTTCCGGAATACCATTAGTAGTACGTTTCTTTCCTATTTCATCATTAAGTTATATTTTCCTTTTTTTTTCAACATTAATACTTCGTTTAATATTTTCAACTTTAACTTTGTTATTAATTGAATTGATTACAGAATATAGGAAAGCCTAAATTATCATTTATCTCAAGCTACAATTCATTTCTGTCCAGTAATCATTCATATTATCTATCTAATATCAATTATAGCATTTCTCGAATGATTTCTTTGAAGATTTTTTCCGGTTAATTTTGCTAAATTTGTTGTAATCAAGTAGTGCTAATATGAGTGTCACGAATGTCTTGGAAATTTTTTGCCATTTATTAAAACGAAATGTGAGTGTATTCATTTTGAAACTGTTGCTTACAAGTAATTATTAAGTACTAATTAAGGGAAAAATTACTAATTTGTTTATTAAATGTTTGTTATTATTTTGGGACAGCAGGAAATGATTATTGTTAAAATGGTTGCTGTTTGTGATTATAATCATAATTGCAATCCGCAATTATTATAGTCGTGATTATAATCAATGTTCATGCCTTTAATTATCACTATTATGAATTATGATCATCCTTTTAATTATTATTCTTATAAATTATAATCATGCTTTTAATTGCTATTTCTATAAATTATGATCGTGTTTTTAATTATTATTGTTATGAATTATGGCCATGCTTTTAATTATTATTTTTAGAAGTTATGAGCATGCTTTTAATTATTATTTTTATAAATTATGATTGTGCCTTTAATTATTATTCTTATAAATTATAATCATGCATTTAATTGTTATTTTTTTAAATTATGACCATGTTTTTAATTACTATTGTTATATATTGTGATCATGCTTTTAATTAATATTTTTATAAGTTATGACCATGATTTTAATTGCTATTTTTATAAATTATGGTCGTGCTTTTAATTGTTATTTTTATAAATTACGACCATGCTTTTAATTATTATTCTCATAAATTATGAGCATGCACTTATTATTTTTATAAATTATGACCATGCTTTTAATTATTATTCTTATAAAATATAATCATGCTTTTAATTGTCCTGCTTTTAATTATCATTCTTTTTAATCATCCTGCTTTTAATTATCATTCTTATTAAATTATGATTATACTTTTAATTAATATTGTTATGAATTTAATCGTATTTATGGTTAATAATTATGATTATTGCAATTTATAGTTTTTATGTTTTTCTTTATTCTATCAATACATTGATGACTTGAATTTTAGATATGCCTGTTTCTTAATTTTAATTTTTCTAGATGATAACCGGATTATTCAAATTCAACCAAGAAATGCTCCAGTATTGTTAATTGCCGTGGAAAATGTTGAAGAATGGCATTATATTTTGTGTAAAGTTGCATTTCCGGATCAGGTTTTTTTTACAATTTTTCTTGGACAATACCTTGCAACATTATAATTTTTAGTGAACTACAATACAATATCATGTGTAGAAAAGCACTTAAGTGTCGTAATTTTTTATCATAATACATAGCAAGTGATTGTAACAATATACTTCAAAGAACTTTTGCTAGTATTCAAATAAAGTTGTAATATAATAATATGATAGCGATGTGATAGGAGTAAATCAATACTTGATAAAAAAATTTTGTAATCGAAAAATTCTTCGTTATTTATGAAACGATTATGTTAAGTAGAATGAAATTTCAGTTTGCTTCCATTGGTACTCATCCTTCTTCTTCACTTTCCACAAATTCCAACGATGAATACGACGTTCCATGGGATTGTATGTTTTCAAACATTTTTTAAAACAAAAAGAAAATAAATCATTCTTTACACTTTTTTCTCCTATTATAATATTTTCATAATTTTCTTGAATCAACCTTCTACAGTAATAATTTTATCTTCAATACGGATGTTATAATTTTAACTTCAGTAAGTCGTATTCCGGTGTTGCTAGAAAGTAACAAAAATATACATCGTATGAAAATTCCGGAAGGAAATTACGAGATTAGTTTTGGCGATTCTATTTTCCTGAAAAATGGATTCAGTTGCATCGAAGCATGGTCTTATCCACAAATTACTTGGTTAATTATTATGATAAATTTTTTTGTTCAAAAATCTTTTTTAATTTATTTTAAAATAAACATTTTATTTGTCAGGTAGAAGCTATTCGTACGTAGTGATACATTTTTGCCTTCTCTTCAAACAACTGTAAGATTCGACAACATTTAATCATAAGATAATTACTTATTTATAAGTATAGTATACACTGAACAATACAGGGTTTAGACGTAAATATTTTTTGGCGTGAAAACGGTAGGAAGCGTATTGTCACACTTTAGAGATAACTTATCCTAAATTTATCTCTATCCTAAGATACACTCTGAAATTAATGATAATTAGGTGTAAAGAATATACGAAAATAACAAGACTAACAATGTAAATTGCGGTTAAGAATTGATCCGTAACTCTGAATACAATTCAAATTTAGGTTTGGTACCGGTGAAAACTGTTTTGCTTTTGAAGTTGACTATGATCAACCGTATGAATTCAAATGTGGACGACCGGAAAATGTTCTGGGAGCGTTGCAACAGCATATGAAACTGAAACCTGATACGGCGCTTCCAACAAACACATGTAATGTGTATACGAAACAATATGTTCCAGCTGAACAGAAACTTGATCGGTTCGTTCATGTCATCTGTTTATTTATCATACACCAAACAATGGAGTAAAAAATACTGACAAAATTAATTTTAATAAAAATGAATTTTAAAGGAATTAAAAGTTTGATTTGATTTAATTGGTAAAAAATTAATAAATAGAGGATAATCGATTAGCTAATAAAGTTTTTGTTGAAATGGTCATCAAAAATGAAATTCTTAAACAATCGAATGAATATTGGAAATAATTTGATGGATATTTAGAAGTTCATCGGAGCGTCAGATGCAAAGATCATCATTGCATTCAACGGTATCATTTCGAAATGATCGAGGTACACTAAATTCCGGATCAGGTGATTCACGTTCACGTTTTCCATTTTTTCGCCTAAAAAAAGAATGGAAAGAAAGAGAAAAATTCGAATTGGATGCAAAGGATGAATGGATAAGGTAATCGTGTTTCTTTCATATTTTTATTTAATGAAAATAATAAATAATAATTAATAAACAAATAATCAATAATAAAATTTAAAGATAGATTGTATCGGAATCTTTCTCAAGAAATCATTGTGTTTCTTTCATATTTTATTTAATGAAAATAATAAACAATAAATAATAAATAATAAACAAATAATCAATAATAAAATTTAAAGATAGATTATATCGGAATCTTTTTCAATAAATCAACAGATATGAAATTAATTCGTTCAATAATTTTTATTGAATTTGAAAATTTTTTCAAATAATCTCAAATAATTAGTATATTTTGAAAAATTATTAAATTTAAGGAAATTTGCATAAAAATTAAATGAAAATTTTTTCTCGCTAAATATGAATAATTCGTTATTTTTAAAAGTTTATAATTACAGATATAGCAAGGAAAATTTGAATGATATGTATCACAATGATATTTATCAAGCAAAACTACCGGAAAGAAATTATTTGAGGTTTCCAAATGTGTCCAACGCGGTTGCATACCAGCATAATCTCGATCAAACTATTGCTAAGCGTGTATGATACTTTTTTGTCCTTTTTTTTAATTAATTAATTAATTTCATGCTATTAAAAAGTAATAAACTTAATCTATTTCATTTAAAAAAATCTTTAATTAAGTATTTTCGAAGCATATGTATATATATATTTATGTTTACTTTAATGATACATACTTTCAGTAAATAAAAATTATTTCAGGCATTATGTTTATCACTTTCAAGTGAAGCATTATCAGGAATGGATAGTAACTGTAGCAATAGCAATAACGATAAAAATAATAGTAACAATCAGAATCGGAAGATCATTTTACGTCCGCGTGTTATATTGGATGGCGATTTACTTGATTCAACAATATTCACGCCATCGACTGATAATCTTGAAAATGATAGTGGAGTTGGAAGTCTTCAAGCTCGTATTCGTGATTCAATAGCTTCAGCTCCTAGTCCTAGCCCAGCAATTTGTAATTCTAACGCTATGAATACCTATTTCAGGCAATCACTGATTAATTAATTTTTATAAATTTCTTGAATTTCATGAAAAAAAAATTTTGTATTACAATAATATGGGCGAAATCAATAAAGTTTTATTTGAAATAATCGAACTCTCATTTATACCTTTGGATCGCTTTTCTTATTTCTTGGTTAATTAAACAATTTAGCCTTTTATAATTTAAATGATTTCCTTTTCATATGATCGATAATACATTGTAACTATCATATTACAATTATCATTATCATCATTAAATATATTTTAAATTTAAAAAATTTAAATAAAACAAATGATAATCAATTAACTCATAAAATAGCCATTTTTTTTTTTAATTGATATTTATCATTCTGAAGAAAATATAATATTATATTTTCATTAATAATTCTTATTTTAAAATTTTCATAATTATCAATGCATTTATTATCAGTGCCACATAAATCGGTTCAATGTTCGAATTGTATTTTTCGTTTGTTTCTCTGAAATTTTACACACTATTTTGATAAATTCGATTTTTTTTTACAAATTGTTGAAAAACGAAATATTTTTCAGATATATATATATATAGTAAAGAGGAAATCATCAATTTGTAATTGATTAAGTAAAGATTTTCTTTTTTAACCTTTAAGTGTTTTGATGATCTACAAGGTCACGCTTTACTTTGTTGTTTCGGGTACGAGAGAGAAAGAGAGATGTCAATGATAATGATATAAACAGACGAGTTAAAACTTATGCAATTTTGAGGGAGAGAGAGAGAGAGAGAGAGAAAGAAATATTAATGATGATGATCTAAGCAGACGGGTTAAAACTTTACAATTTAAGTTTTAAATTGAACTACGGTAATTTTCAAGGCTATAATACCAATACATTAGTTTATAATCTCTCCACTTTTCACTTTCCCTTTCTATTTCCCTTTTTTTTTTTATATTTCTCTTATCGCAATAAATATCACACGAATTTGATGATTTAAAAATTGCGAAACAATCAAATATTATGAAAGTATTACTATTATGAAAAATAGTAATAAACAGTGCACAAATAGATATGAATATCGTAATTGATGCATAATTCTCTGCAAACTAAATTCAACATTGTTGAAAGAAGCATAAATTATGGTAATCACTAATATTGTTGAAAGAAGCATAAATTATGGTAATCACTAATGTTGTTGAAAGAAGCATAAATTATGATAATCACTACTTTTCAATTTACTGAAATTAGCCATCTAAACAATATCCATACTTCAATGATTTTTTTTCCTTGTAAAATATAGCATTTAAATTAAAAAGAACAAAATTACCTGAAATTCCAGATGTTATTCAGATGCAAGTGGAATCACTCATTTGTCACAATGTTAAAATTCATCTTTTCTCCAAATATAATTCATCTATTTTCAATTTCATCTCATTATCCCATAATCCATATCTATCCATTCATCTATCCATCCAATTCGTCCATCATCAATCTTTCTTGGTAACAACGTATCGGATAAATTTGGTTCTATTTCCTCCTTTTCCTCATCCTCTTCCTCCTCTTCATAGGATATCATTTGCGCATGTTCATTTTTTTCAAATATTAATTTTGATGTCATCATTTTATAAATTCATCTTCTAGCCTACTTTCTTTTCCTCTTTTAATAAATCGAAAAATTGATAAATTCTTGAAATTTTAATATATATATTTTTTTTAATTAATAATAAAATTTTAATTGTATGTTATTTCAAAAGTTTTTTTTCTTATTAGAATTGATGAAACTTCAAGTTTTCAAATTATTTTTTCACTTTTTCATTTCATTTATTTTACTTTATATATATTACATTTATTTATTATATCAATTAACTTGCAATTTTTTTTTTCTTGCATTAATAATTTTACCTTTATTTAACTTTACCTGTATTGCATTTAATTTTTGCGTTTTTTCTTTGTTGCATTTTTTTTTCCTTTTATTATTATTATTATTATTATTATTATCAATTATTATCAATTATTATTATCAATTATTATGATCAATTATTATTGTCAATTATTATGATCAATTATTAGTATCAGTTATCACTATCAACTACTATTGTCAATTTTTATTATCAATTATTATGATCAATTATTATTACCAGTTATCATTATCAACTATTATTATCAATTATTATTTATTATAATTTAATAATTATTTTTTATTTATTACTAATTATTATTCAATTCATATGATGAAAAAAATTTTTCAAGAATTTCAAAATTAATTTTTCAAAATTTAAATTTTATTGCAAAAATTAAATGATTGACATAATACAATGGAATTTTTCCATGTGACATCATATTTTAATGTTTCTGTTTTTTTCTCTCATTATATCTCTTTCTCATCAAAAATGGAAAAAAAGTAAGAGAGAGAGAGAGAGAGGAAGAGAGAGAGAGAAAGAAAGAAAGGAAAAAGAAATGAATTTTTTTTGATTTAAAAACGTAATAAGTAGCATCAACAGAGAAATAGAGAGAGAGAGAGAGAGAGAGAGAGGCTGACTGACTCTCCGAAGAATCGGTTGGTCTTTCTGTCGTTCGGTTCGTCAGTCGGTCGGTCGATCGGTTGATTAGCCCATTAGCTAACCATCAAACATCTGTCCATTCAAACTATCACATTATTAGAGCCTCCTTCACTCTTATTGCCTCTTCCATTTTTCAATTACTAAATTTCAATTTCACTTTCTTCATTGCTCTTTCAATTTTATTTTTTCTTCTTCAATTGTTTTAAATATTAAAGAACTATGATGAAATTATCATTTAATTAAAATATTAATTTCAATTTCAATTTCTTTCTTTCTTTTTTTCAATTGATTTAATTAGAAACTAATATGAAATTATCACTGTTACACTATTCAAATTATCAATTAACAGCAAATATTTTACGAGAATTTGCCATTCATTCAGTTTAATTAAAATTTATTGATTATAATATCAAATGACTAAATTACAATTTAATTATGGTAAAAGAAAGAGAAACTTCAATTTATGAATTATTTTTTATCACAAAAATTTTACTTCTTAATTTTTATGATTTTTAATTTAAAACTTTGATTTTCTAAAATTAAAAAAGGTAAACAAAAATATTAAATCAAATATGCAAATAAATAAACAATTATTTCTTTTGTTTTTTAACGAAAATTTTTTTCGTAAATTTAAAACAATTGAAATTCAAAATTAAAAAAAAAACGATAAACAAAAATATTAAATCAAATACAAACAAATGAACAATTATTTCTTTTGTTTTTTTTAACCAATTTTTTTCATAAATTTAAAACAATTAAAATTCGTTTCTTTCTTTTGATTTATTTTTTTAATTAAATCACAGAAATTAATTTTTATAAAATTAATTTTATTATAAAGTATCTCTTGAACTACTATCTTTCTTATCATTAAGATTTCCGTATTTTTATCAATCTAAATACATGTATTATATATATATACATATCTTTTTCCTTATTGATACATTCATGACAGATAGATAGATTAATGGAACTACTATCTTTCTTATCATTAAGATTTACTTGTTTTTATCAATTTAAATGTATGTATTATATACGTACATATCTTTTTACTTTATATATATATATATATAAATTATCTTTTTCCTTATTGATATATTCATGACAGATAGATAGATTGATGGAACTATTATCTTTCTTATCAATGCAATTTACTTATTTTTTATCAATCTAAATATATGTATTATATATATATATATACATATTTTTTTACTTACTAAATATATATACATATCTTTTTCCTTATTGATACATTCATGACAGATAGATAGATAGATGCTAAAGCTGATTTATTCGTTAATTGAATAGGGTAAAGTTTGTTACTTCATTACGGATAATTTTCAAAACTAGTTTTTCAAAAAAGATTTTTTTCTGTTGAAAATTTTTTGATGATAAAAGTGCTACTATTGTTATTTCAATTTTTTTGAAAAATTTTTTTAGCAATCTGTTTGAAATGGATAAGTTTAACAAAATTAAATTTCAAGCATTTTATTGCATTGAAAAATTTCATTTAAAATTTCAATTTGCAAGCATTCATCCAATCATTGAATAGCAATGATTATTTTGGAATTCGGAAATTCGGAAATTTTTTATTGGGAATTGTTAAATCTTCAATGATTATTCCGAAATTCAGTAATTCTGTAATTTTAATCGGGAATTGTTAAATTATCAATGATTATTCCGGAATTCGGAAATTCTGAAATTTTTATTGAGAATTGTTAAATTATCAATGATTATTCCGGAACTCGGAAATTCGGAAATTCTAAAATTTTCACAATAGTTTTATTTTCAATGATTATTCCGAAATTCAGTAATTCTGTAATTTTAATCGGGAATTGTTAAATTTTCATCGTAAATATTTTTTCACACAATTTTTCATCATTTTTGCAAATGATATATTATAACTAATTTTATTGAACTCTTTGTTTTTCTTTTGTTTCTTTTATTTTACATTTAAATAATCCATTCATTCCTGTTCATCAAAGAAGAAGAAGAAGAAGAAGAAAAGACTGTCAATAAATAATGTAATATAATGTGATGTGATATATTTCTTTCATCAATTATTTGTAAAAGAAGAAATTTATGTGATAAATTAACCATTTCAAATGACATCTGTAAAATCGGATACATTCTTATCAATCAATAATTTTATCCTTTATTATTCTCTTTAATAATTTAATTTTAAAATTTCTTTTTCTACCAAAAATAAGAAGTATAAGTAAAAATATGAAATGGATTAAAAACATTTCACTAATATATTTTATCATTCATTTTAAAATGATTTTATGAGATGTAATTATTAACTAAAATTAAATAGTAAGTGATAATATACATATTTTTTTAATATAATAATAGTTTAATCTCTTATTTAAATTGATATAATGTGTTAATTTTACTGGCAATTACATTGATATGATATGTTATATTAATCGTATTGATAATCACATTGATATAATCAATTAATTTTATTGATAGTTTTAATTAATATATTGT